AGGTGTGCTCTGATTGGCCAGCTATCCAGTGCATTGTGATTGGCCGAATACCTCAAGCGTGTGACAGAAATGTTACGCCCCTTACCATATTGTGTTTCCATCATACGGTCTATGGTTTCCATGTGTCCGGCACGATGAGACAAAACCAATAAAACCCATTACAAACGAGGCATTTGTTGCATCCAGTGGGGACATAATTACTGATTGTAATGACTTATACTGTGTTTTTATGCTTTGCGTTGCGTATTGCGCCGCGCAAACGTAAAACCATGTCTGCATTTGTGATCTGAGAAATGACAAACAATAAGCGCTACTCTACACTGCTCAAACTCGCGTTTGAATCATCAGTGGCAAATTCTTTAAATATAAAAAACATACTTACAGGCTGTGAGTCAGAAGCACCAGACTGTCCTTGCAAAGTTGGAACTGCCCCACATTATAGAAACATTATGTCCTCTTTTGGAAGGCTAAACAAAGTAGTTTCGCTTTCACAACGAAACACACAGCGGCTTGAGTGAGCGGCGTCAGGCGGATTCGACAAAGGAGGCTTGCGGCAACGACATGTGACGACCCCGGGCTGGACTCTGCTTCGTCCACGGTGAAAGCCGATCCGGCGATTGGCAGTGCGAAGTTGATGTTTTTCCTCAGCAACCAGCACAGATCAGCTCTAGGCATGACGAAGCGGCTATCGTCCTCTTTTGGAAGGCCAAACAAAGTAGTTTTGCTTTCACAATGAAGCACACTGCCTTCACAACATGGCGGACATTCAACAACAACAACAATACTACAGCGATAATAAAAGTTACGCCTTCTTTCTTTGCGTGAACATTTGGGCGGCGTTATACAAATCTTCCCACACAGTGATGTAGACATGTGGGGGCATGTTAGAATGAGCCGTTTTAGGTAGGCGTGGTTGACTCTTAACTTTTATAAAGAATATCTCTTTGGATTTGAGACTTTAGTCTTTGCAACTATACAGATCTTCTTTATGCACCAAGAGCTTGTAACACTCCAAAGAGAAAGGAAAAATTTTAATCGCATCATATGACCCCTTTAACTTTTATAAAGAATATCTCTTTGGGTTTGAGACTTTAGTCTTTGCAACTTTAGGAATCTTATCTATTCACAAACAGCTTGTAACACTCCAAAGAGAAAGGAAAACTTGAAATCGCATCATATGACCCCTTTAAACTCAGAAAGCAGAAAATGATCGAAAGCTTAAAAATGTTGTAGCAGGAATAATTTGAATTGTCTTTACATCAGTCTTATATTTACTTGCTGTCTGTGTAGAGATGATGCTAGTTATAATGTTATGCATTTTACTGTTTTATAGAGCTGGCTCGAGAGATGAATTTTTCTGTGGATGAGATAAACCACATCCGCACAGAGAACCCAAACTCTCTCACAGCCCAGAGCTTTATGCTTCTTAAGAAGTGGGTCAGTCGGGATGGGAAAAACGCCACAAGTGAGAATCATTTTCTAACCATCTCTCCTTTTTGTATTCATTTCTTTCTTTTTTGCTGTCTTACATACACAGAGAAGTAGAAGCAAATAAATGTAAGTTACTTTTATTTACATTTTCTTAGCGGATGCACTGACGGCTGTCCTGACTAAAGTGAACCGGATGGATATTGTGACTCTGCTGGAAGGGCCCATATTTGACTATGGTAACATTTCAGGCACCAGAAGTTTTGCAGATGATAGCGCTGTGTGCCAGGAAAAGGCGGATGGTAAAGTTTAGCCCCATCTAGATGACCTCACCCCCTCCTCCCCAACTCATTCCTTTTTTACTGTCACCTTTGTTTTTTCCTCTTCAACCTCCCTGTGCAGTTTGCCAAAGTGTTAATCACAGATGGGCCACCAATAGTTTGAACATGATTTGAACAATTGAGCAACATTGAACAATATTTTGAAGCCACAATGAGACTTTGCCTTTTATAAAAGATTAGGTCACAAGTAGGGATGCACCGATACCGATACTGGTATACTGGTATCGGTATCGGCCCGATACTGAGCTCCTGTACTCGTACTCCTACTCATTAAAATGCCCCAATACCAAACGCTGATACCACACAGCATGTGTTAAGTGCCATATTCAGACAATGAAACACCTACAACAGAACAACAGACAGCAGAATGGAGTTATTAGAGATTAAGGATGTCTATGAAGTATATGTATGCAATGAATATAATGTTGAACATTCAGTATTGACTGTATAGCTGATGTGCGCGACCTGTAAAGCAAATCACGCTGAGTGGATTGAGCGTGCAGCGGCGCAGATGCGCGAGCTTGTCGAGTGAATATACCTTTCTCACAGACATCACTGGAAAGTTTGTAGTTCGGTCGGATACGTCAAAAACAAGTAAGTAAAACAATGCACAAGTTACTTAACGGTAGGTAGAGAGAG